CATTGCGACGATCAATAACGCTTGCGACGATCAGTAACGCATTGCAGCGATCAATAACACATTGTGACGATCAATAACCAATTTCAGCAATCAATAGCGCATTGCAACGATCAATAACGCATTGCGATGACCAATAACGCATTGCGACGACCGATGACCAACTTCAGCAATTTATTTTAAAGGATGGACCCACAATGCTTTGTACACTTCAATAGCGTCCGCCATTGAGTTAACTCCGTTTCGTCCACGAACAGCTTGTGTAAGTATTCGTTATATAAATAAATCCAAAATGCTAGAATCCATTACTATGGCAACCCAAGTGTTGCAATATTATTAAAAACATTTTTTTTTAAATCCATATTATATTTCACAAAACGCGATTTAAATTTGTAAAATCTATATTTCATCCCAAAAAACGCAATTTATATTTGTAAATTCTATTTTACATTTCATAAAATATTATTTTATTTTCTAAAATTCGTATTCGATTTCATCTAACGTATTTCTGTTCAAAGAATTCTTATTTAATGCGTTATTGGTCATCGCAATTCGTTATTGATCGTCGCAATGCGTTATTGATCGCCGCCATTTGGTTATTGATCGACGCAATGCGTTATTGATCGCCGCAATTTGGTATTGATCGCCGCAATGCGTTATTGATCGTCGTAATTGGTTATTGATCGTCGCAATGCGTTATTGATCGCCGCAGTGCGTTACTGGTCGTCGCAATGCGTCATTGATCGCCGCAATTTGTTTATTGATCGCCGCAATGCGTTATTGATTGCCGAAATTTTGGTCATTCTTTGCCGATTGTACATATGGGCCACCGTAAGGACTGATTTGAAAGTTACTACTCCTAAACATCATAGAATGTGACCTCAATATAAATTGTACACAAAGTGTATATACGCATAAACCCCATAATGTAACAACGTGAACTCAATAACCGATGCTTCTGTAGCGTACATTACGTTTTATCCCCGACATGTCAAAAAATTGTTTATTTTAAATATTTAATGTTCTTGGGAAAACTGAAATCCCATAATGCAATTTACATTGAGTACATAATATTGGTATATTAAATAGAGGTGCTCAAATTCGCATTTAGTGGAATTGGCAGCTTATGAACTCTTTGATTCTTTCTCTTTATTACAGTTTTAGCCCTGGGTACAGTTCTGTACGCTGGCCTTCTTCCGCTGATCATTCGGCCCCCACAGTCCTGAGAAGTCGTATAGAACGGGAATTCGACACTGTGTCTATAGGGCTATTAGACCTTTAGAAGCAGCTACCTAATTAAATATTCAAAAATCACTCAATCGTTAAGTCGGGTGCTTTAGAAACGGTGACCTAGCTTTATAAGGTGAAATTCTGGCGGGTCGTTCCCCTGACTTTTTTTTCACCTTTTTCATTGTGTGGTATCGGTTGAATAGACATGTAGACAAATAGTGCCTTTTAAATGTTAAGTTTGTTCATTTCATGCTAACGACATGACATTGTGAGTTTGTTGTTTTTAAGCAGAAAAATAATGTAGTTTTACCAGGTAAAAATCATATTAGTTAAGGGTATTGTTCGTATATGAGACATTAAACACACTACATAGTTTATTCAGCTGCTTTCAGTCATAGTTCAAAACAAAGAAAATACAAAAAAATATAGAGATATAGAGATACAGCAAATTATATTTTTCTATAATTATTGTGAGTAATCGATAATTATTAGTGGTGTGCATATGAAGTTTTGTTATGCATTATTTAAAGCGGCAGGGTCGTCACCTGCATACGCACGGGAATTGAGTCCCAAGCGACGGTAACAACACACGCTAAAAATGCAAAGACTCATGGGTAGACGCTTGTTTGTAAACAATGACACGCTATGAATACCTGGCGCATGCGCAGGTGACGACTCCCCCGCTTTAAATTTATTTTAAATGACAATGACATTGGAAGTTGTTGCATAAAAATACAGCCATAATACACATATATATATATATAAGTGAATTACTATATTTTCTGCAACCCGAAGAAGAATTTAAACATATTAATATGAAGCGTTGAAATGGAATAGTTCCTTGTCCTTCAGTAACGCTGACCTTCATTACATAACGTCGTCTCACGTGCATTTGTTCTGCCTAACTATAAAACACTCCCAAAAAATAAATGGATCTGGGTTTCATCTACATTACGTGTATTTAAATATATTTGATTTTTCGAAATTTTGAGAAATAAATGGTTAAACTTACCTAAGATTGCATGATACGTCATATTGTTTCTAGTCACCGGGTGAGTGGGTGTTGTCGAAGTTGAATGAGGTCAACGGACTATTCGTTCTCAGTCCTCAGTTCACTGACAATGTAACGTAGAGGGCGTATAAACACAAGTGACCAATCTATTTGTACTTTTAAATGGGGGAGTGGCGTTAATGTATTACTCTCTTGTGTTTATGCACCTTAGTGGAGGGTAATTAGAATTGATATGAGGAACTTTATTTTCTATGCTTATTTTATTGTTTTACAATATTATAAGTTTTTTCTATGTCAGTTTCACATATACTTTTATATAATAGGAAGATATACCTTTGTTGATGTGTCTCGTTCCTCATGATGCCCAGAACGGTTCGATGCTGTGTTTCAACCACAGAGAAAGCAAAGTCCTTGACATTAATACACATAGGTACCCAAAGTTGCAGTCTATAGTCACATAATCTTGGGCAGTGGATTTTATCATTTTAAATTGAGTCTGTGCTATGCTTGAGGATTGGGGAGTTCAAGGTAGGTTTACAATCTTAGGTTCAGCAAAGCAAAATCACCACGCTAGTGAACTGAAAACTATTATGTATATGTTGATTTTAGGTATTTGAATATTTATAGACCAATGGAAGATAAACTCACAAACCCTGGCACCACACGCATGAACTGTGGTAGTTATTGTCAATACTTTAACTAGTCGTATGTATGATGTATAGTTGCTGCAACACAGCACACACATTATATGTATTTAATATATGGTATCATATGGCATGTCATTCGCTGCGCGTCGGTCGATACTTTAGCTGTGCTGTCTTCGTCCATACTTTGAGCTATCCTCGTAATAACCTCCAATTATAATAAAATATTCCAAATTATGCACTAATTAATATTTGTATACAGCATAGGACAAAACAGCGTATTCATTGCATCAAAGTTAAAGACACATATACAAACATATGAACACGAAACTTGGGATTCGAACTCACGACTGTAAGCAGGCACGCCCCCTACGACATAACACGCTGCCTCTACCAAAGACAGCTTGATAAAGCTTGTAGCGAATGCGTTCCTACATGGGCGTGGGCAATTCGAATCTCTGACGTCACAAACAACGTGCAAGCCACAAGTCTGAAACCATGTAATGTGCAGATTAGCAATATCATATAAGGCTCTAATAAGCATCATTTCACGAAATTCCAAAAAAATGACATCATGATATTGTAACCAATATTTTTTTTGACGTGTTTATTTGTGATATACCACGTTTTGGGTCGTATGTTACCAAGATCATCAAGCCTATCATATAACTGGGTAACCATATTGACATCTACATTCATATTGATTCACGTGATCGATACACATTCCGCCATTGTAGCACGGCTTGCTGGCACATTCATTAGTATGAATCTGGCATTGCGGCCCTAGGATAAGAACATACGGACTGCTACGTAATATGTACGATACATATACGAAAGAATTATTCGTTAACGCCATATACATATATATACATCTCATATAACACAGTTTAAACATCAGGTAGAGATCACTAATAAATGTATACTGAGATATATAGCAATTGTTAAAATGATAATTTTGGAACCAGTAACATTAATTTAATCAGATTTACCTGAATATCCACTCTTGCATATGCATTCATATTGGTTGACGTGATCGACGCATGCGCCGCCAATGTCACATGGACTACTGGCACACTCATTTATGTTGATATTGCACTGTGATCCTATAACGAAATAGTATCATTGTTTTTAAAATGATAATGATGGGAATGTTAAGAAAAATATTATTAAATCCACAATACATACAAGACAACATTACAAAACGTGTCTCAGTGTTTGCATGTTGCTGAATGAAACCTATACAAATAGGGGATTGGAAATACCCATATATTTTTATTCAAACGTACATCATGCACCCTCGTCGAACTAAGCACTTTTTGAACCAGAAACAAAAATTGTATTGCTGCAAGAGATATGAAATATACACATTTTACGTTTCAGTTGCATGTTATATTCGTATCCCAGTACGTCATCAATTCCACCATTTTGTTCATCTTTCCGTGGCTAGTCGATAATAATAATACGTGCGCAAAAAATATGCACGTCGATGCATGTAATCACACGAGGCACATGTGCATCAGTGTTTTAGGCAAGATTTAGCGTCCCATTTGCAATGTACTATATAAAAGACAAATGTAGAAATGTATTTCCTGGCAGTTTGTATTTCAATATATGTTCAATATATTTTTGAGAGTTGTACATTAAAACGATTGTACAGCCAGTTTACGATAAATAATATGATAATTATAGTTTACATTTGTCCGACCCTTTTTTAATCATATATTTTAACGTGTCTGTTTGAGAACAATTTACCTGTATAACCATCTTGACATGTACATTCATAACGGTCCACGTGATCAGTGCATGCTCCACGACTGTTACACGGACTGCTGGCACATTCGTTTATATCAATCTGACATCTATGTCCTACGAAACAAACACACGGATATTAAAGTGGGAGAGTTCGTCACCTGCGCATGCGTCAGATGGCCATAGTGCGTTGATATCGTCGCTTGGGACTCAATTCCCGCGCGTGCGCAGGTGACGACCCCCGCTTTAAATTGAAAGACAGGTATTATACATAGATGAATGTTCATTATGTTTTGGCTTACAGATTGAACATAAATGATGGAAGATCCCGCGAAAAAACAATAAATCCTCAAAATTGAAACCACCTTGGTGAACTTTAGATGCACCACAGCTATCTATGTGTAAATCAACAGTCAAATTGGTAATATTAGAAGTCGTGTTTACAATATACTAGTAGACATACATTGCCACATACTAAATTGATAGTTGTTTTTCGTTAAATTATTAAACACTGGGTTTATACTGGTCATTGTTCGCATGTAACCGGACGACTAGGATTGAAACATGACTGAAGGAAAATCCCGATTAGATCTCAACATATCACCACTGCACACAACAAACACAAACTGTTATCTCGTAAAACAATTCCTGATTTGCATATAAGATTATATGTTGAAAGAGCGACTTTATCTCTAAACCGCCAGTAAACTATTAACAACGTGGGTGAGCGCGTTGATTTTGTAGGTGGATTTGTTTGTGTGTGGGTATTAGCCATGTAATTATGTGGGTTTCTGGGCGTGGTTATGGATGGATGGAAGATCGGTTAGGTGGACAGATGGTTGGATAAATAGTTATATGTTCTCTCAATCTATTGTATACTACTGATAGCCAATAAACTGCACATTTTAACTTTATCAACCCATTTCATTCAAATAATAATAATAATAATAAAAAAAAAATAATAATAATAATAATAGAGCAATGCAGTGTTAGAATTACCTGTGTAGCCATCTTGACATGTACATTTATATCCGTCCACGTGATCGACACATGTACCACCATTGTAGCATGAACTACTAACATATTCGTTAATTTCAGACTCGCATTGTAATCCTAGAAAATTTTACTTATTACTTATTACATTATTTATTTATAAACATTTTAAATATTGATAGTTAATATAATATATTACCTCCACTTTATGTAAATCGATTTGAAATCTATTTCAAAGTGATTACCTGCATACCCGTCGCCATATCGACATTCATATTGGCTGAGCAGATCAATACATATGCCACCGTTCTCACATGGATTACTATCACATTCATTAATATTTGTTGGCATCGTGGTCCTGATAAGTAGAAATAGCAATTTATCTATTTTAAAAATTCTACCATTAATCACAGTATTATTGCAACCGCAGAATATAGGAAATCAGTTAAAACAAAATACACACTAAAAAACACGATATATTTACAAGATACGCGAACTTCACGAATGAGTAAATTTGCGTGATGCCACGATTTTTTTGTTCGATTACCATTTCGTTATACATGGTCCAGATGACTTTGTTGTGCTAGAGGGAAAATATGATTTGGTGCCACATTCCACTCCCCCGAGTTAAATGACTGTTGATTAACGTCTTTCTCAATATTTCAGAAAAAACACAATTTAATAGTTATTGGTGATACATGTTAAATTGTTTTTCAATCAATCAATCAATCAATCAATCAATCAATCAATCAATCAATCAATCAATCAATCAATCAATCAATCAATCCGGAATCAGTTGAAAGTGGATGCATGCCCCTGTTAAAATTTATAATTAATATTTACCCCAATAACCATCTTTACATCTACATTCATATCGGTTCACCTCATCCACGCATATACCTGAGTTATAACATGGACTACTTGCACATTCATCAATATCAGTCTGGCATCTGGATCCTAGAAAATGGTGATATTAAAAAATGACTGTTACATTTCATACTTTTTTGTTTGTGATCACTACCCTATAATATGATATGTAGTTTATTATTTCAGTAAATCTCATACCCGAAAATGTAATAAAATATAAGCATGAATCCAAAGAAAGTGTCAGAAGGTAAAATATATTTGAAAAAAAGCGAAATGTGTTTTTTTGAGTGACCCTTAATGAATATAGCGCGTCCTTATTCTATATTGCATATTTCGAAATGTATTATACCTGAAAAGCCATTGATGCATCTACACGTACAATGGTCCAATTGATCGATGCATGTTGCCCCATTATCACATGGATTACTGGCACACTCATTAATATCAGTCTCGCATCTCGATCCTTTAAAAAAACAGAAATGTTGATTATATAGTTTCGGAATTAAAACATTAAACTTCCATAAGGTACAGCCATAGTATATCCCCACTATTCCAATATTTGTATTGATTCTCTCAAAAAATGAAAGAAAAAATGCTGGTCAATAGACCTTGTTCGCGAATGGCCGCCGATATCTCGTTGAAAGCGATAGCTCCGCGTGACTTGTTAATGTCAAGCAAATTCAAATGTTACCATGGTAATTGAAACAGTGGACGCGATGACAACAGAGAACAGAACGCTATTGGTGCTGGGCCATCTATTGATATCCCATCGATATCTCGGCCACTTGCGAATAGAGTCAATCGTGATGTCACATAAATTGTATATTATATCTATATTACCCTCAAGAAAAAAGAATTACAAGACTTGTATACGAGTGCGTGCTCATTTCCATAAATGCTAACTTGTTCGTAAACATATTTTAAAGGGCGCTTGTCGTCGCGCT